ACTGGATGGAAAGAATTAGCATCAACACACTGGAGGATCCAACCAAAGAAGAAGGTTTTTAAGAATGGAGCTATCTAGCTTCAGCGAAGAACAAATCAGAACACTCATAAAACCCGTGAAGATCTCAATACAAACACCACCAAAGCCAACAAAGAGATCTGATCTTTACACCAAGACTGATTTGAAAATGACCAGGTAATAAATGAGTATAACGAATGCAGACCTTTCTACTGCATGGAAGAGTGACCCAAACTTCTTGCAGAAAGAGACGGTCAAACACCAAACAAAGGCAGTGATTATTAGGAGATCTGGTGACATGAAGAAACGTTAGTGGACAAATAGGTGCAAGAAATTCATTGTCTTACAGACATGCCATATATGATATCTGTGGTTTCTTTACTGACGAAGAACCACTACCATGCTGTAATTGAGAGCATTATCAGATATGGTATTACAGTGTGATTTAGTCATCTATCAGTTCATTTAAAATCGCAAATTACCCACCTCATCCAGTCAGCTTTGAAGGTCATGGGAGTGAAACAGCACCCCTCTCTGCAGACAATCTTTGAAAAATCCATAATCAAACAGGCAGGAAACATTATATCAGATCCTTCCCACATTTCCCTCAATTCTGAATATCAACGTCTTCCTTCTGGCAAACGTTTCAGGGTTCCCAAATGTAAGTCAAACAGATACAAACCTTCCTTTGTTCCACTATCCACTAAAGCTGTCAACGCAACTGTCAAGGATAAACACAATTTTGACTCTTACAACCCACTTGAGTGCAATATGTTTGTGATGTGTTATAAATGTTACATGTTATGTGTTATGCATGTGCAATAGAGTGATGTGCAATGTTTTTCCTATTTTTTGTAATAGAATAATGTGCAATGTTTTTCTTTTCTTTTTTTTTTGTTTGCATTCTATTTAAATATACTGGAGTGCTGTGTGTCCATAAAAAATGTCCCTCAGGGGACAATAAAAATCTTATCTTATCTTTATAGCCTAAGTATCCAAGCATATGGAAGGAATGGGGAGACCTGATCAAAGGAATTATTGGATTAAATGTTATACCATTTCAATGGAATGTCAGAATGCTACAGTTTATACTTCTTTGATGTTCTTAGCAAAAAATTGTACAATTCACAACTACAATGGAGAACCTCTGTGATCATTAATTTCCATTTCTACTCCTGATACACTATACACTAAGAGAGAGAAGAGTTTCCACCAAATTCTGTAGACTGAGTATCAGGTTGAAACAAACATAGTT